GTGACATGAAACAATTACCAATGCATTCCTCACGTCTTCTGCACCCATCCAGGATGGATTGTAATGGACAGGCTCTCATCAGCAAATCCCAGAGACGGGCACGACGTGAGCATGTTCAGAGTAGCCTAGAACGGAGACAAGCCAGAAGCAGAAGCAGGGAAATTAATAAGACATTCAGTTCTACAAGAAGACTATACATCAAAAGAAGCCTTTCGAGTATTAAGAGCTGTTGTTTGATTATCTCCCTAGGCACAGATTATTTTTTAATTAGTTTTTAGTGGAATGATGGAGGCTACCTCCTGCAGAAGGCACTGTCACAGACTGGGGAATAGGATTTGATGACGATGGGGTAAAAAAACAGGGTTGCCAGCTCCGGGTTGGGAAATCCCTGGAGATTTAGGGGGTGGGGAACAAGGAGGGCAGGGTTTGGGGAGGGGAGGGACTTCAATGGGGTAGGAGGGCTAGTTTATAGTCTAAGCCACAGGCCATATCATAATGCACCAGGCTATAAAATAGTAAACAGTAAACAGTAAAAAAAATATGTATCACTATACTCCTATACTACTCCTACTTTGCACTAAATACTAAACTCATTCTGATTTTCCTTGTTGCTAAGGCAAATAACGCCATTCTACTAGAGACATAGTGGTCAAGGTCTGAGAGCAAAAATTTGGCCAGATCCAGATCGGAGAGTTCATTACGCTGCGGAATAATAGGGATGATGTACTTTAGCCTTTATAGAGCTGCGGTGGCTCAAGTGGTTAAGACGCTGAACTGCAGGCTGTGGAAGGTCAGTACCAACCTAGCAGTTCGAAAGCAAGAAATTGCAAGTAGATAAATAGGTACCACTTCGGTGGGAAGGTAACAGCGTTCCGTGCGCCTCGGTGTTTAGTCATGCCGGCCACATGACCACGGAAACGTCTTCGGACAGCGCTGGCTCTTCGGCTTGGAAACGGAGATGAGCCTGGAGTCGAATTCGACTGGCTTTCGAGCAAGGGAACCTTTACCTTTACTTTAGCCTAGGGGCTTCATGCCATGGGCATCTCAGAATGTAATGTACAATATCATCAACTTCCCCCATATCACAAAGACAAAGTCTAAGGGGGGCAGGGATACCAAAGAAATGTCCAGTCCTGATCATTGTAAAAGCTGATCTTAATTCCAGGCTGGTTAACTTCTCTAAATGCAGGGACCTACAGTGATCCCTTTTAAAAAACTTGAATAATGGTGCCGTAAGACAACGTGCCATCACATCCTGATTCATAAGCCTTCAATGGGGTACAATGCCATAGAGTCCACCTTTCAAAGTGGCCACTTCCTCCAGGCGAACTAATCTCTGTCACCTGGAGATCAGTTATAATCCCAGGAGATCTCCAGCCACCACCTGGAGGTGGTGGAGGTGGAGGAGCCTGATTCCTGTTTGGAATATGTAGACTTTGTGTCATTTTGAATCTTAACAGAGCTTAGTAGGCTCCATCACTAAGGAAAGTGGCCTCATGGAGCCCTAAAAATGGCGAAGCAGCCTAGGCGTGCCGTTGGTGACTGCATCGTTCTAAAGAGAGACTTGAGCTTTCAAGGACTATTAGGTCACTGTTCGACTGGTCTAGATGCCATTTATGCACGGTGGCAAAAGCACTTGTCATGTGTATTGTTTATAATTGTAATTAGAACTGTATAAGAAGACGGAAGTCTCTCGTGTTATTTGTACAGCGTGACAGATTACTCTGTTTGTTTGTTTGCCTGTGTTGGCTGTGTTTCCATTTTTGTGTGGTTGTTACCACCTGGCCTAACTGTATTGGCTGTGTTTCCATTGTTGTGTGGTTGCTACCACCTGGATGTTGGCCACCCTAGACAGAAGACACTTTATATGTGCCCATAATGGCATTCATAGAGTCGATCCTTCTACTGTCATGTCCCCCTCATGCTGCAAAGATAATTAGGAAAATGTCCCCAAGATAACATGCATAATCATTAGTGATGGAAGAACAAAATTCAAGCTCCGTAGCACCTTAAAGACCAACAAGGTTTCCAGGAGATACCTGACAAAGGGAACTTTGACTCTTGAAAGCTTCTACCCTGGGAACCTTGTTGATATTTAAGGTGCTACTGGACTCTGGAGCAACATGGCTGCCCACCTAAATCAATCTTCAGTAGTAATGGAGCTTCGTTCACTGGACACATTGACAATGGTGGCTTTGCTGCATCTTATCCTTTCCAGGGGGGTCTCCTGAAATGTCTTCCATATCAAGGGCAGGAAAGACTAGAAAAGGAGAGGGAAGAATCAAGGACAGTGACACAGTCTGTGAAAAAGATCTGACTGGGATGAAATTCTCAAACTTTCTACCCTTCTCTCAAGCCATACTCCCTACCAAATATGGGGGAAAGTATCCCTGCTTTTCAGGCAATTGCTCTTTTTTTGTCTACAGAGGTTGTTGTTGTTCAGTTGCACAGTTGAGTCCAACTCTTCGCGACCCCATGGACCAGATCACGCCAGGCCTTCCGGTCTTCCGCCGGCCCATGACGTTTGCTCAACTTCATGTTTGCTGCATCTATGACACTGTCTAACCATCTCATCCTTTGCCGTTCCCGTCTTCTTTGACCTTCAATCTTTCCCAGCATCAGAGTCTACAGAGGTACCAAAGGGAAATGTGTTCTTCCTTTTGAGGAAGGTATTCCAGGAGGAGAAAAACATAACGGGATGAGCTGCACATTTGGCAATCCCAGAAGACAGGCACTAGGCCAGAGCAGGAAGGAACAGAAAGGTGTTTAATAAATCAAGAAAGGCAGACAGGGCTTTAAGGCAGAGGTTTTGCATGGATTCACTACAGAAAGGGAAATGCTTGATTTTGAGATCTTAAAAACAGGCAGGGTTTGTGTTAAAACAGAGACAGATCTTTTGTTCGCATTTACCGGAAGGCAGGCAGAATGGGCTCAACAGGAATTGCAGGCAGTGGCTGGCTAGTATTTTAAAAGTAGGGTTATTCTTTCAGTTTGCACAAGCAAGTAAAAAGTAAAAAAAAAGTTGACCAACCCTAGCATTGGCATTACGATGCAATGTGTCAGGAAATGCATGAGCATCCCAGGAAAACTGAAGAAAGCTAGGCAAGATTGCTGAGAGTGGCAGACATACTGCTTGTACTCATGTAAGACAGGCAGCAGGGCACATATATATTTGGATATATCCATCTTTGTCTGAATGTAAGGATACAGCTGTTTCTCAGAGAGACAGTGTTATTCACAAGGGTAATGGGCTAGGTGGTGATGGTGTCTGAAGTTGGGCTAAGGATCATGAAGCCAGAGAGTCAGAGGTAGGTAGCATTTATGGCAAAACATGGTCAGGATCAGTCTAAGAAGTTAGGAATCCACACAGCAGCAACAAGACACGAGGTCAAACAAGCTGAAGTCGAGAACTATAATAAAGGGAACTAAGGCCCTGTTCCCTCTAAGCTGAGTTAGCGTGGATAAACAGAACTAAGGCCCATTACGCATGGACATCTTACTACAGATTTTCAGAACAGTAAGTCTTCGATCTTGACTTCAGATTCTGTCCCCACCTTATGCGCCATTCTTTTTCTTCCAGTGTATTTACCCTGCAGCTACAATTTTTAAAAAACAAAGTTTTCTAAATTGGGGTGGAATGTCACTTATGATGTGTGTGTGGGGGGGGTGGCATCCAATTTTTTTTAATTATGCAATTTTCCTATTGCAGCTGCACAGTTGCATCCAGCAAGCGCCTTCCATTTAAATCCTCGTGGTTCAGGTTTTGTGCATGTATTTTAGTGTTAGTTTGTTGAATGAAAGGGAACAGAAAGAAACACCAGCAAAGGGGGAAAACCGATGTAGAAACTGACCAGACTTTTTTTGAAACTGAGAAGGAAGCAGCTGCAAAGCCCTGTTTTCCATATTGCTGAGCACTAGGGGATTCACTGCTGTGTTAGCGGCCACTGTGTCACACAATTTCATAATATGGGGGAACATGCTGAGTGTAAAGAATGCATGGTAGAACCCACTAATACTGGCATTACAAACTGTGATTGTCGACATCAAGTGTGTGCATGTATGTATGCACATGCCTGTGCAAAGTCAGCTGCAACTCCACCATGCTTTGCACCGAGCTGCAATTTGTATGGGGGAGGACTCCTTTGGCAGAAGCTCTGGAGAGCGTTTTTTGTCTTGTGCCACTAAATTGAAAAAGATTGGGGGGGGGGTATTTTCGCCATTGCCCTAGAGCAGCTGCATAATAATGCTAATTTCCTGCCCTTCCTTGCAAATTTGTGTGGCGGCGAGGAGTGAGCAGGATCGCGGGGGTGCGCAGCTCTGAAGTGCAGAGCCACGGCCGCCCGCACACCACGCCCCCCATGCGCCGCCGGCGGGTTCCCCGGCAAAAGCTTCCCTGGCCGCCTCCGCCGGGCACTCCTGAGTTTCTAAGGGCGCCAGAGGGGCGGGTGGGCAGTTAGGGCGGCGGGGGGTTGCGGGGGGTTGGGGGTGCAGTTTGGCGCCCCTGAGTGCCAGCACGCCCTAGGCCAGACACTAGCTGGCCTAGTGATAGAGCCGGCCCTGCACATGTGGATAACTGGTGGTGCAGTTGCATTTGGAGTGAGAGAGAGAAATAGGCACAACCCAGGTCTGGAAAAGGACAGACACTTAGGGTGCAGTGTGAACGCTCCATAAAAAGGAGCAGGAACAAGTCATGGTTATTCTGGTTTAAATGACTGTGTGGAATTAACCATAGAAACTGATCTTCTTGTTCTCAGCTTTCCTTCCACTCCCCTTTCCCTTGTGCATGTGGTCTTTTGTTCACATGGCCTTGAGGACAAGCGCACTGCTCCATTTTCATTTCAGTAGAGCAACCAGCAGTGGTGCTATGTACAGAATTTTAATTGGGGTGGCCTTTTTGAGGGATTCAACACTGGTATGAAAGGAAGGATAAATATATAATAAACAATATACACACTAACAGTAATGAAACAGTGTTTAATTTGCAACTAACTTTCCGCACGTAGACCAACTGGTAGGAGAAAAGAGATGTAAGATTTCAGCAAGTTATGGTAAAGTTTATTGCAGATGAAGGCACAGTTGCTCCCGGCATTCGAATCCCCCCGCTGCACATGGCTGAGAGGTTCCTTCTGCACAGCAGCCAAGGAGGATTGTTTCATCTTTCACCAAGGCACGACTGTCCCTTCCCAGTTCACAAAAGTGCCGTTGTCTTTCTCAGAGAGGTGGCCAAGGGTATTCAAGATTGCCTGCACGCTGGCATCCACAGTCATTGGAGCTTGTCCCTGGAAAAGAGAGAGAATAAGTGAAATAAACAAGATGTATTTTTGCTGTGCAAAAGAGAGAGGGGGGGGAGGGAGGGAGAGAGAGAGAGAATGAGAATGGCACATTAATAAGTTTGACCAATGCTATGACCACAACATTCTTGTACAGCATTCAGATACCACAGGCAAAACAGAGAAGCATTTGTTGTATGCTTATGAAACTTCATTCCTCTGGAGGTTTGTTCAAAGTGAGCCTGAACGTATCTGGACAAAGTGTAAAACTTTTGCAGTTGGCCTAGTACATGGTAGCAAAAGAGTTCAAACATCTACCAAACAAAACAAAACAAAAACTAGAAATAATTAATGGAATTCACAGTATGAAGACCATTCGCTTAGATGGCTTTTTGAAAAGACTGAGAAATGGGCTTGTGGAAGCCAACAATATAACAGGAGGGATTCTGAAGGCTGAAAAATGTTAACGTCAGATGGAAACCAAAGATACCAAAGAAACAAAGATACTTCTAACACCGTTTAACTGCTGTTGGGCAGTCCTGGCTAAAAGGAGCTCATAGGGTGCATGTCTGTTGCCAAACTGGCAGTCACAGAAGCCAACTTACACCTATTTGGATACTAACAGGCCCAAACTGTGTGATTAATTTTGACCCACCAAAATTGCACCATGAACAACCTACCACTGAGCCTCCCATGTCTGTCTGCACCCATCCAGGGTGCAGTGCAATACACAGGATCTCGTCTTCTGCTAGTTCCAGGGCCTGGCAGCGGGTGAGCATGTTCAGAGCAGCCTAAGAAGGAGACATGTGGAAACAAGCAGGAAAATTATGCATTCAGATCTATGACAAGGCAGCCAGTCAATAGGAAGCAATGTTAGGGTTGCCAGCTACGGGTTCAGAAATTCTTGGAGATTTGGGAATGGAGCCTAGGGAGGGTGGGGTTTGGGGAGGAACCTTTCAAGGGTATAATTCCATACAGCTCACCCTCCAAAGAAGCCATTCTTTCTGGGGAACTGATCTCTGTAGTATTGAGATCAGTTATAATTCTGGGAAATCTCCAGGCCTCACATGGAGGCTGGCAACCGTCTATTGCAGCACATACTGAGCTCCAAACATGCCTTTTCACTGTATGGTTGAGTAAGTTTCTTCTTCTACTACTACTACTACTACTACTACTACTTCTAGTCTACGATGACGATGACGACGACTACTACTCAGGGGTCATTTCATAGAAAAAGAGGTGCAGGAGTGCATTAGCATAACTCATTTGCATATGCCACACCCCCTGACATCACCGGAAGTGTGTCAGAAGGCAACACCCACCGCTCAGGCTCCACTGGACTGTTTTGGATTGCTAGCTATGGGGGGGGGACGCGCAGATCCTCGTGCTCCAGGGCTGCTGGGAGCAGGAGGCGGGGCTTGTTGCATGTGCCCACCCCCTGGGCTCTTTACTGCCGGAGCTCCGCTCCTGTGCGCTCCTGCAGTAAATGACCCCTGCTACTACTACCATTCTTCTTCTTGCATACAAGCTTGCATTCTGTATTTTGACATCACCAGTGAAGCTGCTAGGCCAGAGATTAGAAAAAAATGTGTTTTGGAAAGACCCTTTATTCTTAATCTTAATGATGTCAGCAGAGCCAGCACTTTACCCTTTGCCCCGCAGACACATACATACCTTGCTGCAGCGGTAATTAATGAAGTGTCCCACATGCCATATGAGGAGATTTGCAATGGAGCCTCCTTCACTGGACATGTTGACAATGGCGGCTTTGCTACAGCTCATTCCTTTCTGGGGGCTTTCCTGAGATGCCTTCCTCAGCAAGGGCAGGAATGGGAATGCCTGGAGACAGAGGGAGAAGAATGAAGGGCAGCTACGCAGTCTGTGAGAAAGACGAGGCTGAAGCCACAGAACAAGTGCTGCTCAACTGTGTAGGGTTGCCAGCCTCCAGGTGGGGCCTGGGGATCTGCCGCTTTTACAAGTGATCTCCAGCTGACAGAGTTCAGCTCCCCTGGAGAAAATGGCTGCTTTGAAGGGTGGACTCTATGGCATTGTACCATGCTGAGGCCCCTCCCCTCCCCAAACCCCGCCCTCTCCTGGATCCAACCTCAAAGTCTCCAGGTATTTTGCAACCCAGACTTGGCAACCCTACAACTGTGGGATGGCCACGTTCTCTTATGGGCTCATCCCAATGGCAGCTATTTATAATTGTTGTTCAACGGGTGCAGGTTTCCCTCACTGCCTCAGTATCTCACCCATGACCAGCTGGATTTCTGTTTTGTTATGTTTCTCTTGAATTCTTTGTCTGAAAAATAGGCAGTAATCCTACCAAATTATTCCATCACCAAGGGCTCTCAACGTTTTTGTGAAGTAGAGGCCCTTGGATACCCTTACCTGGGTCACCATCATGGGCCCTATCACATTGTTTTTGTACACCTCAGTCATGACTTCTGGTGTCTCAGATTCCAGAGTGCTCGGCCTTAGAATTCCAGCATTGTTGATCAGGAGATTCAGCCCGGCTCCTTGCAGGTGTTCTGTGACTTTGGCTGCAGCGGCCAGGATGCTGGATGGATCATTAACTTCTGCAGCAGTGAAGAGAAGTTTAAAACAAAAATTGAGCCATGCGCAGCCCAGATCCTGCACTGTGGGTCTTCGTACCGTCCTCTCCCTATAGCATGTGATCTTGTTGCTCTGGGTTGCCCCTCCAAATAACTTTTGAAATGCAAACAACTGACTGCCTCTTCTGATTAAAAGAGATTATCCTGTTAAAAAGTAAGGAATGCTTCAGTACAGGGATTCAGTCGGGTCGTACTGCCCTCGGTGCAATCCCAGGTATCCCCCCCACACACACACTATTTAGCCAAATTTTCATTGCACGTTCTCTGCTCCTTATTATGACTTTTGCAATCTACAGGCCTGGTGGGTTTTTTATCATAAGCAATAGCACCTTATTCTCTCTCCAACCCACCCTTCCAAAGAGAAGGGAGAAAAGAAAAAAGAAGAGAAGAGAGGAAGATTGTTTTTAAGATAATGATAATACATTCCTAAGAATATTGTGCAATGCTATGCAGAATTACTCCAATCTAACCCCATTGATTTCAATTGACTTAGACAGGAGTAACTCTGCACAGGTGTGGCTAGGCTTCCCAAGTCCCCCCGGGGGGCAGGGAAACCCCCGCCCCAGAGGCCCGTTCCCCGCCGCCAGCGAATCGGGCCCCAGGGGGAACCCTACCCCGACGTGCATGTCACCCGGAAGTGACGTGATGACGCCGGGCATGCTGGGGGCGGGGCCATGGTCATCCGAGGGACCCGGCATTGTTACGTCACTTCCGGGTGATGTGCGTGTGGTGCGCGCGCACTTTGCGCACGCTCCAGCCACCCTCTTGCCGCCAGCAGGGAGTCCCGCGCTCTGGCGAAATTTTGAATTGGCAACCCTAGGAGTGGCCCAACAGGTGCTTTGAACCTTTTGTGAAGGTGTAAAGTAGATATTTTTCCACATTACTCTTTGATTACTGAAATGTCTTTCACTCCTGTTTTAGTAGGGGAAAGAACCATGGCTCAGTGGTAGAGCCTC